TTCCCACCAAACTTTGAGACTGAGCCAAAATCCATTCATTTTGCTGTCAAATTTTGGCAGTGCAATTTTGGCCCATTTCTCAGGGTGGTTGGTTAGTGTCATGGGTGGGAATGGGAACAATTTTCTTCCTCCACTGCTCCCATTCCCATTCTTATTTCTTTGAAAAAAGAAAGGAGAACTTGTTTTGGCAAAATTCAGACATTTTGCCACTGAATTTCAGCAGTGCAATCACAGGGTGCTGGGAGGTTTCAAATGAGATACTGGGAGTGAGGGTGCAGCGGCCTGCAGAATGCCAACCTCTGTGCTAAAGCAACAGTTGAACAACCAGCAGGAAGTCTGACAAAGTGCTGCTGAAAAGGAGAACAGTAGTTTAGGTTTGCTTATATTTTTTGTGGGGGTGGGGGGAGGAAGACTCCAAGATGAGCTTCTGGGAATACTAGAGGGAATTGTATAAATATTTTTATATGATATTATATTTAATATATATACATATATATTATATTTCTACACATATTAAAAGAATATAGTCAGAGCTCTCCATATGCCTTCCATTATTTTTATGTAGAAGTTTACTTGCTGGTGCAATGAATGATTCCATTCTGTCACAATCTTCTGTAGGCTTCCTGCCTGCTGCCAGCTGACAAAAAGAAAAATGATTGAACATCCATACAAAGCTGTCAGTTAAAATTTCACTAGTTGCTTAAGAACCTGTTGAAAAGGTAATCCTATTAACCACTGTGGCTAGAGTCACTGGGATTACAAAGAGGTGGGGTAACCATGTTTAGGTTGGGGTATGAAATAAAAAAAATTGTTTTAAATGGAAAGGGTCTGGCCGAGAGACTGGCACTTAAACATGCATGTTGATGCACCTGGACAGATTGGCAAGTCAAAATTGCTTGCATCTCTGAAATGCCGCGCTCTTGTTTCTGCAAGTGGTGATCACTCTCCTGTAATACTTGAGTATCATGTTGAATTAGGTAGACTAAAATGTGTGCAAATGTAAGCACTTTATTGGGGGAAAAAAATCTCATTTTGAAATACAATTTATTATTTTAGGCAATGGGACTGTTCACAAAATAAGGGGGTGGGGGTCCAAAGGAGTCAGAATGTAGACTATTGTCAAAAAGAGGCATTGCTGGAAAATGTTTCTTAACGTTTAGACTAAGTCTAAATACATGATTATGCAGACATGTAATATTGGTTGGCTTTGTAAGGATATGGATAAATACCTAAGCTTTTTCAGAACTGATTTTTTAAAATAAATGTTGCACAATTGCCAGAGAATTATCAACAGGAGGCTTTCATATAATTCTAAGTGGTCCTTAGGATTAAATGTGTAGAGGGTTTACAGATGTGGCCTTTAGTAGACTGCTTCAGTCACAAGTATAGTTTGTATTTTTAGCGAACACCCATTTTTGTTATGTATGTATGTATGTGTGTGTGGGTGGTTTTTAAAAAATGTTACAGTGTCATATGATGTCAGCATGCATGTCAAATTCATAAATCGATTGTTGGAAATGTATTGTTGAGATATGTATGTGGTGGGAAAAGGAGGCCTAGAGGGAGCAGATTTCATTTGGAAGAGAACGGTTTCTTCTTCTTCCCTAGCCCCCAAATTAAAAAAAAAAAAATGGAGACGTTTTCAAATGTTGTATTGTTTGAAGTTGAATGTTGAACAGTCATAGTGAGTGAAACAAGCTTTGAGAGACATTTTTAAAAATATAATTTGGTTTATGAAACTGAGTAGTTTATTGATATATATTTTTTTAACACTACATTCCTCTGTCTTTAATAAACAAGTACTTTACAGTCTATGTTGCTATGCTTCATGCTTTCTCATCCGCATGGGTATTGCCAGCAGCATGAGAGGCCATATTGCTTAAAGATATCGTACCTGCCAGTAATACAAAAAAGCAAAATGAAACACTGTGTATGAACAAAATACTGTGTTGCCTGATATACAGATCCCAGCTCTAACTGAGGTGCTGCACTAGTAGACAATCAAAATCTATGGAAGACTTTGGGGTGGGGGTGGGGGGATGTTCTTAAAGATACAGCTGCTTTGAAAGTGTTTTTTATTCTTAAAAGTATTTATTTTTTAAATTGTCTAATTGGATACTTTTCAGTGTTGATTTCACATTGTCTTGGTTTTGCATTTTTAAAATTTGGCATTAGATTTGTATATGTAGGAAACCTGTGTGATTTTCATGATCTGACATCAGGAAACTGTAGATATGGATCCCTAGTGTTCATGTGACCATTACCAAGTGTCGGTTTTTAACTGAATAAACATAACATTTGAAATTTCTGCTTGTAGCGTTAAGGTCTTGATAATGTTTCTGGCTTGAATACTTCTTACTGACTTGGTATGTGCACTGTCACTTTTCTTTAACAGCAGTACCACCAATCAAAAAGAATTGATTGGGGGGAGGGAGATGAAGAAATTGCTAATGCAAGTGGCACCAGGATTTGGCTGGTGCTAGTTGTGGTTCTTTTGCATTACAGTGATTGTGCTAATGAATTTGAACTAGGAAAACAGTTGTCTCCAGCCTAGATTCCTATTGCTCACAAACACTGAAGTCCCTTGTGTTTCCAGACTGGTGGAATGAAGGTGGGAAAGGAGCAACATTCACTACTCTTCTTCAGTGCTCAGGCTTCTGACAAAAAAAAAATCCACTACACGCAGTTGGAAGGAAAATAATTAGGCTAACTGCCAGCTATTTTCTATTTTCAAGGATGACAGGGAAGACTGGAAAAGCTGAGGATTGCCACACAATTCTTTTGGCCTGGATTTCCAGCCCTTCAAAATCATAGCCCTCCCTCCTGGCGTTGATGAGGGAAACAAATCACTGGGATATGGAGTCTGCTGTGCTGCCTCAATGGCCATAGGATTGCAGTCTGTGTGGTTTCTTTCCTGCATTAAATAAAATCACATCTGATAGGTTTCACAGATGTGATTTTGTTTTTTAAAACTGTAACTTGAATGTAAGAGCCAGTTGCCTTTTAATAAAATCATAATGGTTCAGGAATTTACCTGAATAATAGTTGAACAAGTGTCTTTCAAGCATTTATCTTATGTTGCATCTATCTTTTGTCATATCCTGGATTTTTTTCACTCACCTCAAGAACTGTACCATAATGCTAGAATGTAATACTAAAGACATGTTCTAGCACTGCTGGTCACAGAAATCTATCTTTATTCAAGTCTTTCCCAATGCTTACTAGCATCCAGGGGTCAGGGGGTGGGGGCCAAATAGCCACACTTTCGTTCCATACATATCCCATTAGCCGTCTCCATATCCTTATCTGTGAACTACAATATTCTAAGGACAGTTCATCGCACACAGCTGTGAATTTATTTAAAGGCTTTCATGTGAAAGAACTCCGAGGGGTTTTCTAATTCATGAAAATGACATACTGATCTCTAAAAACAGCCTTTCCTTATTGCCACTTTCATTGGACATGTCACTGTTAAGATAAAGTCAGGTCATGGGCACCAGTGGTAAAATGGGTCTCATACCATGAAAATAAATCTATGTACCATGTTCTTCTAGCTGACAATTTGCAATGAAGGATGAACCTATCTTCAAGGGAAACCTATCTTCTATAAATTCTCATTATAGTCACAGATCAAACTACCCATCTAAATAAATAGCATTTGCTAACAATGCAGTAAGAATGTCAGCTTCTGTGTGTTGGATTTAAAATTGCATCTTCCCCCTCAATTTAGCATCAAAGTAAAATGATTTTGAAGTATTTGTATACAAAAAAATCTTATAAACAAATCTTACTGCTCTGGTAATATCCATCCTTTTCTGATGTTCATACTGAGGGTTAGGTAGACATGAGACCCAGCAGTAACAGGCTTGGAGAAACTCCAAAAATCAGCTGATGATTGC